ATGCTGGCTGGGGAATTCTGGGAGTTGAAGTCCACTTATCTTAAAGTGGCCAAGTTTGGACAACACTGATTTATTGAGATGACACTTGGGTTTTAGATTACATTCATATTTTATTCTTTTTACTGAAGATAATCTTCTATAATTTCTTTCAAATAGTATTGTGGAATGTAGTTTGAAAGTTTGTTTTACAACCATTTTAATCTGTCTATTATCTTTACAGGCTCAATAGCCTTTAAGACTATATGTACCCCATTTATCAGCATATAACACACACAGGCGTAGAACACGCACCTTAATTTTAAGAAGGAAGTCTGAGTAAAAAAAACCTTAAAATTAAAATAAATGACTTGGAAGCAAAATAAAGGGAGCTCTGAACTTTTTGTTTATTCATATTTATACCACTTAAAAGGTAAATACGTAATATGAAAGAAAAAGCATCTCTTTGAATGAAGAAAACCGGTGCTCCGCATCGCTCGCGTGAGCAAAAACTGGCACTCCCCATCGCTCGCTCGCTCGCTCGCTTGCCCGCCGCTCACCTCCTGCTCTGCGGAGCTGCCCCAGTTACAGCCCTGGCTCAGATGAAGGCTCCACTCTCCCGGCCCTGCCGCTTGAGTATCGGCGTATAACACGCAGCTAGGATTTCAGCCCCATGTTTTAAGGAAAAAAGTGTGTGCTATATGTCGATAAATACGGTACATCCTTAAAATGTATGAATTAAGTCAGGCCAGTTGCTACTGAACATGTATTGGACTGTTCCGTTTTCCTGTCAAGATTTTGTTTTGTATGGCTCTTTAGAAATATAAAAATCATTGTAAATTGGTGCAGGATAGTGTGTTGTGCAGTTGCTATAGTTAATTTAAGGTGGATTTATAGCCATAACATTTTAATTCTACTCTTATATGACTTTCAGTACTCCATGAACACAGAACTAGCCCATCGATCCCTCTAGCTCAGTATTATCAACACTTGCAGGCAGCAGTTAATTTTTCAGAGTTTCAGATAATTTTAAAAAATCTTACATTGACATTCTGCATGCAAGGCATGTTCAGTGCCACTGGGCTCTTGTACCTTCACATATACTTGGCTATTTGTGCTTGGAAATGTGTACGTGTAAAATTTACATAGTTTGAACCAGGAACAGGCAACTTTGAGGGGGTTAAGAAGCACATTTTACTTTGAGTGGAAGCTGGCTCTAAGAAAACCGGTGTTATTGAGAGAAAACTAAAATGTGGCCAGGGCAGAATTTTTTTAAAAACATTTTTTTAAAACACCCTTTAAAAATACTTAGTATGAACTCCTAAGATTGTGCTACTGTTAAAATTTGCTACCCAGTTTTGCAGTAAATTCTGCCACCGAATTTCAGTGGTAAACTATCCAATAGATATGGAGACCATTTGAAAAATTAAAAAGCCTGCATGTGACTGGAGGATATATATTGCCCCCCTTTTTCAAAGAATCAGCACTCCAAGGATTTCATATTGTATTGAATTGTATTCTGTCTGGAATTGCAGAACTTTTAAGTAGGAAATTATAACTGCAGGTGTTACATGTGGAGCAATGCTGATGAAGTAGCAGAAATTGTTTTAATGGATAAAAACCACATGGGTCAGCTTAAAGTAGTCTTTCTACAATTTGTTCTTAATTTTGTTTTGCTTTGTTTCTCTTCTTAATTTTCTTTGGTTTTGATTTATAAGTATCCTATGTTAGGTAGCATCCTATATTTAGATAGCAACAAACTGTAAAATATCTAATACTGTAAATGAAAGTAAAAGAATAGGTAGAAATTCCTCACAGCAAGAAAGAAGGTGCTTCCAGGTGAAGTTTTGTGCTTCTAGTTAAAAGATATCACATAGCTCTTCTATCCTTTCTCTTGCAATGTTTGTTGCAGGTAAAAAAAAAGGACAAGAGAAATGGGGGATGGGGGTGAAATTGGAGGGATTACCAGTGGAAGTTGTTGTTTTCTGGACCCTCATCAAATTCAGTGAAAGAGTTTGGACTATTGTGTCATAAAAATGGTACAGAAGCAGCCAATCCTTTCACCATCCCTGTCTCTCTCTCTCTCTCTCTCTCATATGCAAACACATAAACAGATAACTTCTGCTGCTAAATCACTGTCTTCTCTAACTGAAAAAGCCCCCATTAGTCAATGAATTTCTCTAAATGCTCAAGTGTATTCATTTGTTTAAGAGACATTTGTCTAAAACTGAGCTGTGTCTGTACATCTCAGTCTGTACTATAGGATAGTGATGGAATAAAATTGTAGTTCTTCATTTGAAGAAATTTGGAGGTCCTGCAGAATCTGTTTCCAGGAGACCCAATTGAAACAATCTTATCTGCTCCCTAACTAACTCTTCTGTCACCAAGGCACTTTTCAACTTGAACAGACACCCAAGCAAAAATTGTTATTGTGAGGTCAGTTGGCACTGATGGCCTTGCTAAACAAAGAAATAACACTGAAATTTTTAGATAAGGGCTGGAACATTATGCATCCCTTATTATTTAATTTCTGGAAATTGCACAGTTAATTTAACCTTTGTATTATTGTCCCATTTTTAAAAGTTTAGGTTTCTGTTTGCAGAATGTAGCATTCTCTCTTTCTCTCTCTCTCCCCCCTCCCCCAAATTTGGACTTGGGGTGTGGGAGAAAGGCAGAATTTCCAAAGGTTTTATCCAGGTGGTTGGTAGGTTATTTTATGCCTCCTAATAACTTGAGACTAGGAAGCTGCCTTCGGTGCTCTATCTCTTTCATTTTCATCTGTTCAGTATGAGATTTTCTCCAAATACCCTTTCTCCTTCTTCCCATTTTCCCTTCACCCAATGCCTGTTTAGCATGTGATGTGTGATATTTCTTTTTAAAGAAATCCCTTTCTCCCTCTGTCCCCAGCCCATTGAATGAAAACTTTGGACTGTTTATAAGACGTATTTTAAAATTGGATGAAATTATTGTTGAAGATGCTAATGAGACTTGTTCCTCCCCTCCCTCTTCATTCCTTTCTCCTTCTCCACTTATGTAGGATGACAGCACTAGCCATAGCGACCACCAAGACCCTATCTCACTAGCCGTGGAGATGGCAGCGGTAAATCACACCATTCTGGCGTTGGCCCGGCAAGGAACCAGCGAGATCAAAACAGAGGCCCTGGATGATGACTGATGACGCGATGGAGGGGGAGGGCTCCCAGATGAGAAAGTAACTTAGTTTTAGACGTAGCACCTTAGCAGCCTTTTTCCTGGTCCCTAATATGTGTCCTTCTTTACAATATAACTTTGCAGTCTCTTGTACGTCAAGTTTGCCGTTTAGGGTCTTGTCCTGTGAAGATGGCATGGTGCCCTCTGACTCTGCGTATAAACTCTCAGTATTAACTCCCAGTCAGATAATTAATCAAGCCGACTGACCTCCCTCTCCCAGTGCTCCCCCCTCAGCTAGATGAAAACCTTTGCTGCTCTGTCTTTAGCATTCCATGAATGTGCTTCCAGGTGTCGTAGGCAGCCCTCAATTCCAAACCTTAGGCGAAATCTATAGAAAAACAACAATACAATCTTGGATTATCCTTCAGACTTCCTGGTGTTAACATTTTTTATTTTTCTCTTGTTATTGTTATAAAACCAAAAGGAGACAATGGAGATTGAGTGGCTTGAAGGATAACGGCCACTGGGTTGAGAGTTTGGGCAGAGAATGGGGTGATGATAAAGCTTAGATCTGTGGTCAACGTCTCGTTACCAGGTGCCAATAAGCTGGGCCTCTCTTGGCTGTGCAGCAATACAGTCTTTATTGCTTTTCCATGGGATTAGTGCTGTTTTCCAAAGGTCCTGGCTGGTTGGGAATGAGGGGGGAAAGTCCACCAGCTTGTTTTGATTGATGCTTGCTGCTGATGCGGTCAACATAGCCTTCCTCTTTTCTTTACAAGTTGTGTTATGGGAGGAATAAAGCGTTTTTTCTCAATTCCTAAGTTTCCCCAGTTAGGCCAAAGTTTCCATCTATAGAAGAAGCTGCTCACTGTGTCTCTGAATGAGTCCCACCTATGTCCATGCTTCCTTCCAATAGGTTGTCACTAAGGGTGATGATGGCCAAGGAATGATTTAGGTGTGATTGGATCATTCACAGTTCTTTTATCAGTTCAGTCATAAATGAGCCCCACTGAGTTCAACAGGATTTAAACCCAGATAAGTTAAGATTATACTCTTAGTCACCCCACATGGAGAATATCTATCTTGGAAAAGACATGATTTGTGTAGAAAGATAGGGTGGGCTTTGGTGAAAGTGGGTAGTTATTTTCATACTCATACATACACACATACACACACAAATACTGTGATGAAACGTGAAGTATCTCTCCAGTTCAGCCTGTAATCAGAAGTTGCAGAAAACTCTCCTTGAAAATCTTGTAACTGCTTACTTCCTTGCAACACCCTGTCTCCAAAGTATGGTGCACTCTAGAAAAGGATTAAGAAGTAACTCCCAGTATCGCTCCCTACTAGAGTTACAGGAAATGTGCATACACAGAAATTTCCATTATTTGCATATTAGAGGGTGCAGTGATCCCTATCTATTGTCTCTGGTGTTGGCTCCCCAAGATATCACACCATGATTTCTCACACTTCACTAACCTAGGCACACATTCTTTGTGTCTCTGTCTTTGTTCTGTTCTTCTTCAGAAGCTGGAAAGCTGTACCTGACTGAGCAGGTTAGCTAATTCTTGGAAGCCATATTGCAGCAGGAACTAGATGTTGCCATGAGCCAAGGATTCAGTGGCTCATGTGCTCCTGGGAAACAGGATTATTTTTTTACTTTCCTATTGTTAGGGCAATCTGAGATTGGATTCTGATATTGGCTGTCCAGGAAATTAGAATTAGTGATTAAATACCGATGGAATGTGAGATGAATCTACTTCTAAATAGCAAAAAAAATAAATAAAAATCAAATTCGAGTTTTTTTGTTTATCTTGATCATATGTAGCACTTTGGTATTTTTTTCTTAAATAAATATATATATATATTTGTATTTTGAGCATTTTTTAAAAAATAAATATCATTGGATAAATCAACAATAAAATGCTGTAAGCTCATGTTACAGAATCATCCCATGATATACCTTGAACATAGTCCATCAGGAACATCTCTGATGAAATGGCCCTGGGCGGAATAGCAC